CAATAAAAATATATTTTTTAAAAAAAAGGAAAGGAAAATTCAGTCTTTATTGGAGATATCGCAGGCTCCGTGTTATCCTGCCTCCTGAAATGAAGACAGGAAAGGGATGCTCTCCTGCCCTGAGCACAGCACACAGGGACACAAGCAGCCTGCTGATGTTAGGAAGATGTGCGAGACAGGCTTCCAGGTGGCCCCGGACAGGGCTGGAGCACATCAGGGGCCAGGGGCCAGGCACCCAGAACAGGGAAGAGGGTCCCTGCTGTCCAGGGCCACGTCTCCCAGTGGGGTCAGCGAGTGGGAGCCGGCAGGGTCCACAGGCGCCTGGGCCTGCAGGACTCACTCCGGGAGCCCCTGGGACTGGGACAGGATTCTCTGCTCGAGCTGGGCGTACCTTGGCAGGAGGGCAGCATAGACCTGCAGGGGCAGAAAGAGCAGTTTAGAAGAGAAAGGGGAGGGGCCTCTTCCATCTCTTTGCATCTTGAAATTTAAAATCTTTACATCCCATTTACTTGCCATTTAATTTTCTTGCCGGGCAAAAGAAAGGAAGCGTCAAACCATTAAAAAAAAAAGAAAGGACATGCTACTGCTTCTCAAACCTGGAGTTTAAAATGTTTTTTAAATGCAAACTATGACAAGAAGCCGATTTCTGTTATCAAATCTACAAAATTAAAAAAACAAATTCGGGTGAAGAGACTGGGACATGGCTGTCTCCTTGCACATGTTGGTGGAAGCTGCTGGTGCAACCCTTTTGGGAATCAACTTGACTTGATGCCTGTTTCAAGGAGCTTGAAAATGCCCGTAAGCCTTTGACCCAGTGATTCTACTTCTGCAAAGCTCTCCTAAGGCAATAATCCTAAATGTAGCGTGACAGGCCCACCAAAGGTCTCCTTAGACACCACGGAACATTCAGACTCATACGACTAGCATGGGCCACACGTCGGCTCTCAAGAGGATACAGGGGAAACACAGCTGCTGGCACAGTGACCGCAGGTGCCCTCTTCAATGGGAGGCCATATAGGGGCATGCAGTTCGCACAGGTTCCCAGACAAGGGTCTCTTAGCCTCCCTGCCTTCTGCCTTCCTTTCCCTCCAGGTTATAGCTCAGGTGCAAAGAGATGGAATGCACACTGAGCCGGTGCAAGTACCACCTGGGCTTTCAAGCTTCACGTCCCACAGAGGCATTTCTTGCAACAACGCCCTAGGCAAGAGACATGCCCAGGAGAAGTCACCACACTGTATTCATTCCAGTTTATTGAGCCTCAAAGGAAACAGAGCTAGAAAGCTAACAGAATAGAAAAAAGGTTTTGTTAACCCTTTACCCACATAGAGTTGATGATAATGTTTGAAAAATCAGAAGCAACTGCTCTAAGACATGAAAAATGCTCAAGTAAATTATGGCTCATTAGCCAGAGATAATATTATGCAGTCGTTAAAGATAACATGTATGTGCATTTTTAAGAATGTAAATACCTATGTGGTGATGCAGAATTTTATATAGTGTGTGTGTGTGTGTGTGTGTGTATATATATGATTACTATGTGACATATACATATGTCTTATATAATTATTATACTATATATATAAAATTATGTGTACAGTATGCTGTATAATAAACCCAAACCTAAAAACCAACCAGGGAAAAAGGACCACAAAGAAATAAACCCCATCATCTTACCCTTTATTCATTTTTTTTTAAAGCTGTTTTCTCCTGTGGCTCCACAAGCCCGGTCTGAGAAACGGCGCGCTCCATATGAGCGCACGCTACCTTACAGACAAGCAACGCTTAAGACCAAAGGACCAGTTTCCTTGGGACTCACACACCCCACCAGTTCCAGCCAGCCCCAGTCCCGCTTCATTTGGCTTCATCAGCTCCAAGTCAAGCACTTCGGTAACTGACTGTGCAATAAGGACCTACTCTTGGTGCAGCTAGAGCAGCTCTGTCTGCAAACACAAGAGGACGTGAGGACTCCCCGATTTCCTCTCCAGGAAAGAAATGGCAACATTCAGCTAAGCCCAGAGAGAAAACACTCAACACTGCTACTGTTTTGAATTTCCACTACAGCACAGCCCTTCTGAGGCGCAGAGAGAAAACGGGCTGCCACCCTGTTCTCCAGGAACTTATAATCCAGCCTGCAAATACGTCACTTCTGCCAACAGTCAGAGACCTGTCACTGCTTGCAACCTGGTGCTGAGAAGGACTCTGAGGTTGCACTTGGCTTTAGGGGTAAAGAGTTCCACGAGCTATTAGTGACCGGCCATGCTCAAGCCAGGGGGCGTGGCTGCACGCAAGTATTTACTACCTGCTTCCTTAGCTTTCCCCAACTACCTGCTTCCTGGCATCCTAGAGAGGATGAAAGAGCCAGACCCTGCAACAGCCTTTCTTACAACCACGGCTGGCCATGTGACCAAGTTGTAGCCTGTCGGGGAGTTGAGGGGAACAGACCAGGATGTCTTGAGAAGTGTGTGAGGAGAGACTCTGCCCAGTGAGTGCGGTGGTGGGGGACACGATGCTTGGAGCAGCTGCAGACACCCCGCCACCATCTGGGACACGTCTAGAGCTGCAGGATCCAATACGGGAGCCACCAGCCATCTGGGCCTGTGCGCACTTGAGATGCAGCTAGTGCTCTAAGCACACGCCAGATGTCAGAAGCTCCAGACAAAAAAGGAGCAAAATATCACATTAGCACTTCTTCTTAATGATTACGTGTTGAAAGGACAATATTTTGGACTTATTGGATTAAATAAAATATTATTAAAAGTTGTCATTTCTTTCTTTATACCTTTTTAAAAAATGAGACTACTGGAAATTTTGAGATGACCTAGGTGGCTCTCATGAGGTTCCCATTGTCCACTGCTGATCTGGAGAACTTCAGGGATCATGGCGCGGAGCCCTGGCACTGCTGAGCCATTGAACCAACACTGGCAATGACCTTCAGACCTCCTGCTATATAATAAAGCCACGATTGTCAAGGCTGCTCCTTAAGCCTCACAATTGGCAGCTTAAAAGTAGGCAGGACAGATGTCGCCCCCGATTCACAGATGAAGAAACAGAGGTTCAGAGAGGAGGAGTGCTGCTCAAGGTCACATGAAGGTCAGATGGTGGGGAGAGGCAGAATAAGTTCAGAACCCAAAGCTCCTTTATCTCAATGTAGGATCTTTCTACTGCACTGAGCTGTCTCTTAAACACAAGGGCACACAATCTATAATAACAAAAGCGTAATGTGCTGAACAACCTTCCAGACATCATTCCAGACGTCCTTCTGGATGAAGTTGCCCTGGCAGAGGCTGAGGCAGAGGCAGTTAGGGGTGATCAGGCAGGCAGGCGAGCAGTTAGGGACGATGAGGCAGGCAGGCAGGCAGGCAGGCAGAGTGGTTAGGGGCGATGAGGCAGGCAGGCAGGCAGGCAGGCGAGCAGTTAGGAGCCAGCGGTCCTGGATTGCAAGAGGGATGTCCGACTGCCAGCAGTCAGACATCGCCCGAGGGGTCCCAGATTGGAGAGGGTGCAGGCCGGGCTGATGGATGCCACCCCCCCCCCCGCCCCCCCCCGCATGAATTTCATGCACCGGGCCTCTAGTAGTAAATAAAATCTTGGGTACACCTATGTGTGTGGGTTACCCTGTCACCTGGAAAGTATGAGCTTCTGCTTCCAAACTATGCTGGGAACAATTCTCAGTGGTGTTTCTACATGTCACAGCTTTTGTTCCCCACCATCTTTCCAAGGACGTTTATACAGCAGCCTTGAAGACACAGAGAGTGTCACCCTCTGGGGGCACAGGGAACATTTTTTTGCCGTCTGGGATAACAAAGATAGTGACTCCTTTGGGGGCAAAGGTTGGACAGCATTGCTTGCCACTCCTTTATAAGGTTACAGGTTTCTAAGCTCAGGGTCCCTCCGTTGTGACACAGACACAGTGCGGGCACAGTATCCACCTGGGCCCACTCCGCATCACCCCAGGACACTTCAGGATGAAGCAAACATGAAGCTCACGCTGCCCGCTGGACCCCCGTGAATAATAAAGCCCTCTGCCTGCACCGCCCTGACCCTCGGCTGCAAGGACCTTCTGCAAACAGGACAGTGGTGGGGCCCATGCTGTGGCAGACCACCCAGACTGCCCTTCAGGAACGGAGAGCTTACTCCCCAGCCCTCAGCAGACAGCCCCCTTTGGGGGTGGCTTCAGCCATGGAGGGCTGCCTTACCCCATCCTGGGATGGCCTGCAGCCTGCATGCAATGACTGGCTGACATGGAGTATAAAGGCCTGGCCCCGTACCCCAACTGGGTAAAACTCTAAAGGGTCATCCCAGCTTCAGAAGTTCCTGTAGGGATGGCTGAGGGCTCCACTGGGACTGCCCTGCAGCTCACCTCCTCCTTTCCCTTCCACAGACTAGAGTCCCAAGAGTAGCCCCTCCTAAGTCCCCTGCATCCTTAATCAACATCTGACAGTTTGCTTTCCCGGGAACCTAACCTGTAACCGTGGGGGCCAACACACAGGGATTTCCTGGCCTGAGGGACTGCACGGCTGGCTGTCTAGGATCCAGACTTCAGATCTGAGTGCTAGACAGCCTTGTGCTTCAGCGACAGTCTTTCTGTGGCTTCTGTGACTGGTGAAACGGAAGGGCCTGCCCTGAGGCACACGGAACCATGAAGATGTGCCCAGCAATCTATCTGACCCCTGAGGCTGTAAAATCAGCAGTCACTGGTATCTGTGAATCTCAGCTGACAACCCGGCTTCTTTTACTCTGGTTCCTTGACAACTAAAAAAAAAAACAAAACCCTTTCATTGAGCACACCCACTTGAACGTAGGTGACAAAGAAAAACTTACCTTTTGAGAGGGCAAGGGGAGAACCCGGTTGGTTTTCACAGTGCAAATGCTATAAGCAAGTTCTGATGGCCTCTCACCTGAGCAGCTCCTGGGCTCGGGGTAGCAGCTAATCTGGGGCTTGGGGCGAACTTCACAACCTCCGAGAAGGGCACGCCTGTCCCAGCTGCGAGGCCTAGAAAAGGAAAGCTCAGTTCACGTCAGTGTATGTTGCAAACCAGGACACTAACCGGAAATAGCATTTTCTCTCTGGGGCGACAAAATGCTCTAAAACGGGATTAGGGCGATGGCTGCACCCCTCAGTAAATTTATTAAAAATCACTGAGTTGTATACTTACAACTGGGTCATTCTTATGTCATATGATCGTGCCCTGAAAAAACCATTAACACAGAGAGAGAGAGAGGAGAGAGAAATCTCAAGTGCAGGCCTCCTCAGCAGGGCCTGGTTTGTCTTGCTCACTGACAGACCTGTCGGTCCTCGGCTGAGCCCTGGCATCTAACAGAGGGGAGGGCCGCCTGCCTCTCCTCCTCACATTACTCATCCCTCCCATCGCCTCCATCACTCACTACATTCGAGCCAGCCCGTGGCTTTCAATCCCTCCTGCCTCAGAGCCTTTTCACTGGGTGGAATGTTCTTCTCTCTCCATGTACTTATTCTTTTGTCCTCGGATAAGCGGCGGCCAAGAACCGCACTGGCTTGGGAGGCTCCCTCCCCGGCCCCTCCGCCTCTCAGCACCATCGGCTCCCTCAGGGCACTTCTCACAGTTTCCGGCCACAGGTGTGATGGCGGTCCCTGCCTTGCTCTGTGAGGCCAGGGCCTGGGTCTCCACTGGCGCCTGGGGCCTCGCACACCACCTGCATACAGGAGGCACTCCATACTCACCAAGCAAACGCGTGGCAGTGCTGGAAAAGAGGGAAGGTTGCCGCAGGTGGGCAAGAGACAGTGAGGGGTCTGCAGGCCATTTAAGGAGGAGCATCGGACTGACAGGGAAACAACCCCACCAGGAGTGAAGGAGCCCACGGAAGAGGCGAGGCGTTTTCTATCCGAGGGCTGGAGGACGCCCACTAGGAGCTGTGTGGATGAGCGAAGAGGATGAGTGGTGCGGTGGCCAGCGGCGAGACTCATCAAAAGATCTAGCTCCCTTTCCACCCCTTCACGGGCTGCTGCGTGTGAAACTCATCCCCGGACCCAGCCGGGGAGAAGAGGTCTCTAGATGAAGTGGCTGAGGCACCTCGGGGTGGGAACTGATATGTTAGGACAGGGGTGGGGACCCTTTCTCTGCCAAGGGCCATTTGGATATTGATAACATCACTCGCGGGCCATGCAGAATTATCCACTTAAAAATTATGCCAAAACCGGTTTGGCTCAGTGGATAGAGCGTCGGCCTGTGGACTGAAAGGTCCCAGGTTCGATTCCGGTCAAGGGCATGTACCTTGGTTGCGGGCACATCCCCAGTAGGAGATGTGCAGGAGGCTGGTCGATGTTTCTCTCTCATCGATGTTTCTAACTCTCTATCTCTCTCTCCCTTCCTCTCTGTAAAAAATCAATAAAATATATTTTAAAAAAAATTAGCCTGCTATATTTGGTCTAACATTTAATTAACTCATCCCTAATGCCTTGGCCCGGCCAGACCGAATGATTTCACAGGCCTCATGTGGCCCGCGGGGCGGACATTCCCCCCCCCTGTGCTAGGTCTTAGTTCAGGTTTTGGTTTTGGGGGCAGAGTAGGGCAATGCCCCAGATAACCTTTGGCAACTAAGTAGGCACAGAAAAGGAAAGATGGGCGAGAAACGCATGCAGCAGAGCGGCAGAGTCCTCCCCAAAAAGGAGTTCTTTCCCTGCTTTGGCAGGAGGAGGAGGAGGAGGAGGAGGAGGAGGAGGGAGACCCAGGCTTCTCGTGGGCAACACTGAAGGCTGGACGATTGTGGACGTGTTTTCAAAGTCCTGAAGCGAAGTATTTTGAACTTAGAGTCCTCTGCCCAGCCAAGGTCACATTCTTTGGGAGGACAAAGCAAAGCTCTTGCTGGCCATGTGAGGCCTCAGAAAATTATCACCTACTGAATTCCCTCTTAAAAACGTATTTAGGTTGTATATTTCAACAAAAAAACTAGCATAGACTCAACGGAGAAACTGCAGTGAGTTAAAAAAAAAAGAAAAAAACCTCATAGGTAAGTGCAAGTAAAACCCAATACGATGTAAATTTTAACCGAAAACATAACTATCTGGAAATAAAGTGTCCACTGATCATGAGGCAGGAGCCGGTGTGAAGTGCTGTGAGGCGGATGGGTGTGGGGGGAAGGGAATAAAAGAGGTCATTATTAAGAGGAGGACATGGTCCCGAATTAACCCTCAGTGTCAGTAGGAAATGTGTGTTTTAAAAGGTGTGTTAAGCCTGGCCGGAGGGGCTCAGTGGTTGAGCGTCAACCCATGAACCAGGAGGTCATGGTTCAGTTCCTGGTCAGGGCACACAGCGGGCTTGATCCCTGGTAGGGGGTGTGCAGGAGGCAGCTGGTCAATGATTCTCATCATTGATGTTTCTATTTCTCTCTCCCTTCCACTCTCTAAAAAAATAAATGTATTACATATTATATGTTTTAAAGGTGTGTTAAAAAGTTAAAAGTAAACGTGTGAAGAATGGAACCTCTAGAGCAGTGGTTCTCAACCTTCCAAATGCCGCGACCCTTTAATACAGTTCCTCATGTTGTGGTGGCCCCCAACCATAAAATTATTTTCGTTGCTACTTTTAACTGTAATGTTGCTACTGTTATGAATCATCATGTAAATATCTGATATGCAGGATGTATTTTCATTGTTACAAATTGAACATAATTAAAGCATAGTGATTCATCACAAAAACAATATGTAATTATATACGTGTTTTCCGATGGTCTTAGGCGACCCCTGTGAAAGGGTCGTTCGACCTCCAAAGGGGTCGCGACCCACAGGTTGGCGACCCACAGGTTGAGAACCGCTGCTCTAGAGGGAAAAGACAAAGCCCTTAAGGTACATGGGCAGCCAGAGGAGCAGCCTGAGCCATCAGGGGGCAGAGAAAACTGACCAAATGGAAGGAAGAACGCTCTTGTGGGCACGTGCTGCTCCTGCCGCAACGCCCCCAGGTGGGGGGATTCCTTTACTACCAGGGGTGTGAGAGAGGCCTCCATGAGAGCCAAGACGCACAGGGCGCTGTCCAAGGTCCTGAAGCGCCTGGCTCCTAAGCCGTCGCGGTTGACTCAACGCCCGGCTCTTGCTGAAAAGACTCTGGGCTTCATCCACATCTCCTGCCCACCAGCTGTCCACACCCAGACACTCGTGCCCTCAGTATGCCTACGTCCATTCCCAATGAGCCTGTGCTGAGCCTGATCCTGACCAGGCCTCACTCAGGACCCTGCTACTCCTTCCCCACTTTACGTAGAGGATAAAGGGACTGAAAATTGGGGTTGGTTCTCGCCTTCTGGGAGGGAGAAAAATGAAGGTACAGCCGACAAGACTCCAATGTCCCAAAAGACTGGGTACATCCCAGTCTCCCCTTTCCACCCTCCTCAGCCCAGTGAGTGCCCACCCACTCTCCCCCATCCATCGACCTACCGTGGAAAGCTCGGTAAGCGGAGCCCACGCAGGCTGAGTTGGCGGTGTCTATGACATATACCGGGGCGCCAAACACATCCGCAAGCACCTGGAGAGGACAGAGGCTCTGACTGTGGCGAGTCACTCCTCAGAGGGAACACGGGGAGCCTGGCACACATTTTCCGGCTCTTCCCTCATCCATCTTCTGATGCCTCCCAGGACACCTCTACTGCCTTAAAGGAAGTGCACTTGGCCACGTGCCCGTGATAAAAGGGTCCGGATGACCTGCAGGAAGCCTCGAGTGGAGGACCACAGCTCTCCAGGCTGTCCCCGCACTGTCTAACCATGGCATCAAAGACAAGGAGGAAGATTTAGGAAGTATGCTTAGCAAATGGTCAAGGTGGAGACGGCTGGGTATCAGACTAATATTCACAAGCCCAAACCCAATGAAAAAGGGCATGTTTTATAGGAATAAATACAAAGTTTTCCATTCAGATCCTCCTAATAAATTGCATACACACAGAATGGGAGGCATGTGCTAAGAGGAGCTCACATGGAAAAGACGTGGGGGTCTTTTTTGTTGTTAATCCTCATCAGAGGACATTTTTCCATTGATTTATAGAGAGAGTGGAAGGGAGGGGGAATGACAGAGAGAGAAACATCGATGTGAGAGGGACATATCGATTGGTTGCCTCCCACAGGCACCCTGGGATCGAGCCTGCGATTGAGGTACGTGCCCTTGACCAGAATTGAGCCCAGGACCCTTCAGTCTGTGGGCCGACGCTTAATCCACTGAGCCAAACTGGCTAGGGCAAGACTTGAGGGTCTTAATTGAAAAGAGATATTGTAGTAGATGCCACTGATACCCCATATGTATCCCCTGACTGGCCTACTGTGCACCCCTCTCCAGATGCTATGAATATTGGCTACTAATGGCTCACAACTGTCCCTACTTAAAAGAACTACTCCCTTGCCCTAACCAGTTTGGCTCAGTGGATAGAGCATCAACCTGTGGACTGAAGGGTCCCAGGTTCGAGTCCAGTCAAGGCATGTACCTTGGTTGCGGGCACATCCCCAGTAGGGGGTGTGCAGGAGGCAGCTGATCGATGTTTCTCTCTCATCGATGTTTCTAACTCTCTATTCCTCTCCCTTCCTCTCTGTAAAAAATCAATAAAATATATTTAAAAGAAAAAAAAGAACTACTCCCTGCTGAACAGAGGCTGCCTCTCACAGGAGGTTATTTCCACTTTCCCAGGATGGCCAGTAGGCCCCCTTACCCCAAAACAAAAACAAGTCTGTGGTAGAGTTCCTGTTCCAGATCTCCCCACGGGATGGAGCTGAAGCCGACGCCAGCCAAAAGCACATCCTTGCTTGCCCTTCTGCCCTGCCTGCATCTCCCACCCCCTCTCCCAGGAGAACTCTCTCAACACATCACTTTATAGGAAATGCCCATTTCAGACTCTGCTTCTAGAGAATCTTACCTAAGGCAGGTATATTACAAGTCAAGAGTCAATGCAGTTATTCAAACAGCTAAGGCAGCCTCAGGCTACATCCCAAAATACTCAGCCCCAAGATGTAACAGCCTGATTGTCAGACATCTGCAGGTTGATCCAATTTTGGTCACATATTTCTAGCATCGTGGAGGATCAGAAAGACCGGGACCAAGTCCGGCAACTGTATTACAAGAGGAATGGTTGAGAAATCAGAGATCTTTACACTGGAAGGCAGAAGCTTTTAGGAAGGCAAGAACACTGGCATGCGATGTCAGGTTTGACGTGTGGGACAGGCACTTTCCATGTGACTACAGAGGCCGGTGCTGGGATCAGAGAGTGGAGTTAGACAGGGAGCGGATTTCCCGAGTCTAAGACAACCTGCTCACAGTGTAAGCTGCAAGGCAGCGGATCTGGCTTCCTGGGAGGGGAGGAGTGGGAACAGGCATTCCTCCTGCTGAATGCCTGGCTCTTGGAAGTAGCAGACATGGGCCCGGCCAGTGTGGCTGGATGGCTGAGCGTCAACCTATGAACCAGGAGGTCACGGTTCGATTCCCAGTCAGGGCACATGCCTGGGTTGCGGGCCCCAGTAAGGGGGCATGCAAGAGGCAGCCAATCAATGATTCTCTCTCATCATTGATGTTTCTCTCTCTCTCCCTTCTTATCTGAAATCAATTTTTAAAAAACAAAACAAAACAATTTTTTAAAAAGAATGAACAGATATGGGAGAGATCCTTTCAACACTTACTTGTAGTATGTCTCCGTTGTGAGATGCCCCTCCAGTGGCCAAAATCTTTGTCTTGGGCACTGCAAGGAGAAAGAAAAAAATGACTGGCCGTTCCCCGGGTTCTTCAGCCACAAAGGGCTTGTGTCGGCCATTGCTTCTTGCTTATCACAGAGGATGGGGGGAGAGACCCCAAGCTGGTTCTGTCCCCTATAATCAGCTTGTGCGGCTGCTGCCTACCCACCTCTTAACATCATCTTTTTCTTTTAATTACTAAAAATCTCTCAACAAAACAGGGAAGAAGGGACCTTAATTAAATGGATGAAGGCCATATGTCCAAAATGTACAACACACATCATTCTTAACAGAAACATCTAGAAGCATTCTCTTTAAGACTTGTGTGCTGCCTGGCCGGTGTGGCTCAGTGATTGAGCATCATCGACCCATGAACCATGAACAGTTTGATTCCTGGTCAGGGCTCATGCTAACTGATGGATTCTCCCTCATCATCGGTGTTTCTCTCTCTCCCTCCCTCTCTGAAATCAACAGAAATATATTAAAAATGAAACAAAAATAGCCTCTCTGCCTGACTGCAGGGAAAGCACCATGAAGAAGGCTTTTGATAAACTTCAGGGATTGCATGCACAAAGGAAACACTAGCAGGACTATAGCAAGATAGAAATAAGCCCATAAAGAAGACTGGAAGAACTTCCAGCTGGTGCAAGGGGCTGGAAGAGGAGATTCTAAGTCGTTTTCTTTACTTTCCAAACTTGCTAAGATAAGGTTTTATTGCTTTTACAAACCAACCTCAACAAAATGAATATATACACAGAAACATAAGCTGAAAGGGACCACGGTGTTAGCCCAGTGCAGATGGGTACATGTCTGTCAGTGTCTAAACATCAAGAGAGCGATGGTTCTTTAAATAAAGCATCTGTAGCCAGTAGCTAAGAACTCAGAGTCTGGCCCTAGCTGGTTTGGCTCAGTGGATAGAGCATCGGCCTACGAACTGAAGGGTCCCAGGTTCGATTCCAGTCAAGGGCACATGACCGGGTTGTGGGCTCAGTCCCCAGTAGGGGGGCATGCAGGAGGCAGCGATCAATGACTCTCTCTCATCACTGATGTTTTTCTCTCTCTCTCCCTCTCCCTTCCTCTCTGAAATCAATAAAAATTTAAAAAAAAAGAACCAAGAGTCTGGAGCCAGAAGCTTGGTTCAGCAGCTCTGCCAGCCTCAAGGTGCTAAGCAAGCGACCTAACCCGTTTCCTACTTTGGGAAGTGGGAGTAATACCAGCACCTACCTCGGAGCGCTGCTGTTAATAAGGAATGAGTGCTTAGAACCAGGCTGGGCACACAGTAGGTGCTTAATAAATGTTAGGAGCTATTAACCAGCCCTACATCAAGTGCCTCTTTATTCTCTTTAAACACTATTTAACAAGATTAGGGCTGATCAAGAAGGAACCCAAGCGGGTCCATCCACATAGCAGCAGGAAGATGACGCCTCTTAGTGCTGCGGGGGGCGTTGGGAGGGTGTGGGGGGGAGTGTAGGTGTGTGTGTAGGGGGAGCAAGCTCATTCATTTACATGATCCTGTTGGAGAGGAACCCAGCAGAGCTGGCGAACAGGTTTGATTGTGCTTTTAGGCTCGTTAAGAGGATAAGTAACTTTATGCTGTTTTGCACAGGAAATGCTTTAGAGGCTGGGAATGATGGCTTGATCGCATTACCTTCCTGAGCCCAGGAGGAACTCCCTGCCCTCGCTGCCTCTCCCTGCACGCCCAGCTGCCCCTCCTGACAGCTAGAGAACCCTTCCAACCACAGCAAACAGCTGTGTCTGCTCTCGAATTTGGTGTACACGGGATCCTGCCACATGTATTTGGTTTTGGCTTCTTTTGCTCAGACTTCCATTGGTGAGATCGATTCTGTCCCATGCGGTTGAGGCCAGGCCCTTTTCACTTCTGTGTACTATCACGTTGTGTGAACGCCCACAAGGCACGGATCCTGGCTGTCATCAACGGGTATTGGGTTGTTCCCCATGTGAGGCGTCAAGCACAGAGCCCTGATGCATGGTCTCCGGCACGTCTTTGGAGAACACGCTTACATACTTCTGACACACGTTCGCCGAGGGCTGTGCCTGCAGCTTAGTAGGTGCTGCCTAACAGGTCTTCAAAAGGTCTCCCTGATGCTTATTTTTTAATATCTGCTTACTTGGTGGGTTCAAAAGCATAACACATGCTGCCTAGAACTTAGACTGCCCATGAAAGTGCCCAGAGGAGGCCAAGCGAAGGGGCTTCAGTTTTCTACCTTCTCTAGTGACAACCGCTGCTGCCCAGAGGGACAAATACATGTTAGAAACCTGGTTTCCTTGCAAAACCCCAGACCATACCAACGCCATCAGTACGGGGGACTCACTCACCTCCTAAAGCCGCCCATTCCATAGCTCGAGTTCTGAGGAACCCCCTTCTCCCCCATGGGCTCCCCGAGCCCTGGTTCTGCCGCTCTGTCCCAGACCTCTCAGTGTGGACAGTGGCTCCACATCCCCCTCCTCCCTATCCGAACTGAAATGCCCAGAACTGTGCCCCCAGGGAGGTGGGACCTGGCAGGCGAGATGGAGGTCAAGGTCCAGCCATGGCATCAGCCCAGACCTATCCCACCTGCGTGCCCATGTCCTCAGGGCCCAGGTCTTGAGACATTCAGTTTGCAGGTTGGAGCTTAGGGTTACAGAAAGATTGCCGAGCCCGGCTGGTGTGGCTCAGTGACTGAGCGTCTATCTATGAACCAGGAAGTCACGGTTCAATTCCCGGTCAGGTCACTACCCTGGTTGCGGGCCCAATCGCCAGTGGGCGTCGTGCAGGAGGCAGCCAATCAATGATTCTCTCTCATCATTAATGTTTCTATCTCTCTCCTCCCCTCCCTTCCTCTCTGAAATCAATACAAATATATTTAAAAAAAGAAAGAAAAAAATATATTTTAAAAAAAGAAAGAAAGATTGTCAAGTCCTATAGCTCCTGGCCTGGAGATGAGGCTACAGGGGACAGAGCGGGCAAACAGGAACACCTGTCCCCTCGTGTGGGTTGCCCACAAGAGCCAGTCACCTCATTTTCAGGCCCCACCAGGGTCAGGCTCCTCTTCTCTCCCGCCTGAGGCCCCTGCGATGGAGCCTTAACAGACAGACCCCGCCAGGCCACGTCTGACGGCCGAACAGGACCTCAAGCCCCGCGGTGCGAGCGAGACCCCGGCTCCCGCCCCAGAACACAGCCCGCCACCGCTCACTTACGGACTCGATAGCCCAGGCCCTCGGCATGAATCCTCTTGGCCAGGAACTGTCCTTCAATCAGTGCTCGGATCTCCACATCCGCAGGGAACGCTGGGACCTGTGTCCAGGAGACAGCGAGCACGGAGTGAGGAGCTCTCACTGTCCACTCATGTGTGTGTTAGCATGTTAACCAATGACCCCGGCTCAGAATGCATGACTCAGGCCTCCAGTGGATCTCAGGCATAGCTGCTGACTCCCCACATTAAGCATGCACCCTGGCACATCAAAATAAATTATTTTAATTGATTTGAGAGAGAGTAAGGGAGGAAGAGGGGGGAAGAGCAAGGGGGGGGAGGGGAGGAAGAGGAGAGAGAGAGAGAGAGACCTCGATTTGTCGTTTCAGTTATCCATGCATTCATTGGTTGGTTCTTGTATGTGCCCCGACCAGGGATCAAACCCGAAACCTTGGCGTATTGGGACGACTCTCTAACCAACTGAGCTACCCGGCCAGAGGCTCAAAAACGTTTGTTTTATCAGGGATGAGTGAATGAATGGAGCCCCTAAAAGGAGCATCATTCCATAGGCAACTGTTAAATGTAACACTCAGAACTGGAGCCGACGCAGCTCCAATACACGTAGCACATACCTCCCGGTTTTCTGGACTAAACCTATGACGCCCGATCATTTCAGGGGTGATCTCCTTGACGTCAAAATAAAAACCTGAAACAGACCAGGAAGAGATTAGCCGTCAGCGATCAAAAGCAAAAGGTGGGCGTCTCAAGACTTAGAAAAAGGGCGGGGTGCAGCGACCCCACATCTCTGTCGCTGGGCCCCACTCACCCACGGGAGGACATCTACGAATACTCTCAGTCCCTTGCCCTCCGGCAGGACAGAGGGCATCTGGAAAGGCCTCGGCAAGTTTCCTTAGACAGCTCTCCCTATGCTCACCTGGCAGCCAGGCCACGGGCAGCTGCCCCACTAGCCCTGAAATACCTGCCCACGCCCCCTCCCTGCTCAGAGGCCTGTTCCAGACGCTGGGCACTTTTCCTAACAGGACCTGGTGCCTGCAGCAGAAAGCTGTGCACAGGATGCACCAGGAGGGAGCAGGCACTGTGGCTGCCACCGCTGAGGCTGCCACCAGGCGCTCCAAGTGGGCAGGAGATGCAGCGATGGCCCCATCTTCCACTCAGAACACAGGGTCTCAGACCAGCTGTCAGGCCCATGGAGCACAAGTGTAGACACACAGGGCTCTCCTGGGCCTCTCCCTGGCCCTCCTCTCCCCCTACTCACGGGGCGCCAGGCCCTGCCCCTTCCACAGGCAGCTGCTGCCCCTCCCCGGGCCTGCGCAGCACCCACCAGCCTACCCAAGTTTCCGCCATTCCCCATCTCCGTGGACCGCAGTGCCTTCGAGAACTCGCTCCAGGAACCGGAAGCCGACTCGTCGCGGATCTTCTCTCTCATGAGCGAGCCATTCTTAAAGCTGCAGAAGTGCACACAACCCTGAGGGAGCGCCCCAGTGCTCGCTGACTGGACACACGTGTTGCCAAGAAGAGGAGCTGCAGGTCAGGCTGGACCACAACCCCCAGCCACTGCGTGGCAGGGATCTGCGGCTCTCCCTCAAGTACCAGGCCCAGCTCAGGTCCCAGGAATCACCTGGAAACGCACTTGTCTCGGGCCGTTTACAGAGGAGGCTGCCACAGAGGAGCCCCAAGAGGGGCAGGGAGCTGGGGTTCTGCACGCGGTACCACCTGCACAACGGGGAGGGGCTGGCTAGATCTGCTAGACCCACATATTCCCCAGCAGTTCCTGGGGCATAGAGGCTCAGAAACCTCCCTCAGTAGTTTTCAGCAAGTGTCTGAAGGCCTGTGCTCAGCGCACCCCCTTCCTGTAGGAACGGAATCGACCATGTGCCAAACACGTCATCACAGTACAAAGTAAACGCTCCCCTTCTCCTCGGGTTATGAACAAAGCGTGGCCCAGACATGCTAGGGCCGTGGTCGGCAAACGGCGGCTCGCGAGCCACATGCGGCTCTTTGGCCCCTTGAGTGTGGCTCTTCCACAAAATACCACGTGCGGGCGCGCGTACAGTGCGATTGAAACTTCGTGGCGCATGCGCAGAAGTCGGTTTTCGGCCTGGGCGAGTCTATTTTGAAGAAGTACTGTTGATATTTGGCTCTGTTGACTAATGAGTTTGCCAACCACTGTGCTAGGGCGTCTGCCCCAGGCCACACACAGGCTGAGCACCCAGGGTGTGGGTGCTAGGGCTGGAATTGGGACCTGGGTTTGGGGGACTCCAGGTCCTGAGTTGCTCCCACCCAGCTCTGTGTCAGCAGGACCCAGTGCGTCCGGGGTCTCAGCTGCCCACAGGAGCCTGCTCAGTGGGACAACCTGGGGTGCTCCCGATGGGGGCAGACGGCCTTCCTCCCCACCCAACCTACCACAGCAGCGCCATGTAGTGCCGGGGGTCGACCGGGCTGCAGAAGATGTGGCCTTCCAGGGCGGGCGTGGGCTCCTGGAGCCAGAGGAACAGGGTGTCGCTGGTGCCCAGGCTGATCTGAGGAGAGATGGGCAGGGTGAGGTACCCCGTCCTTGCCCAGCTCCACCGCCCTGACCCCAACGCTTCCCTCCTTGTGCTGCAGACCGCGGAGTAAAGGCCACTTCCGGGGAGAAACCTCTTCTGACCCTCCCACACCACAGGAGCCCAAGGTCAGCTCCCCAGATACAGGCTGTCCCGGATCCTATGGGCTGACCTTCTAGAACTCACCACAACTGCGTCTAACTAATGGTGTGGGTGATGGATGACTAGTTCCCCAAGCGACTGCCCACTACACCCAGGAGGGCTTGGGTGGTGTCTGCCTTTCTCACTGGGGAGCTCACATCCTCACACCTTCTGCCACTGTGCCCGCCAGGACTGGCCACTGTCAAGGCGGGCAGAGGACTCAGCCAAGGCAGATGGCCTTCTAAGAGAGAAGATGTGGGCAGGCCCTGGGTCTCCCTGTCCCCTCCCTCCGCTGCCTTTTGGAACCAGCAGGCCCTCTGATAGGCAACTACGATGAACCCCAGGGCAGACAGAGCTGGCTCCACCTGTGGGCGTGAGCAGTCACCTTACCGCAATGTCACCTTCCTCCAGCCTCATGCCGGCCAGCGATGCTGAGGATGGGAGGGGAGCCTCTGGTTAGACACTTCGGAGCCAGGGAGCAAACGACAATCGCCCCCCAGATGGGAGCACAGCCGCCACCCCCCTCCCTGAACCCACATGCTAAGGGTAGAGGCAGGAACAGGGTGAGCTGAGGGCTCAGGAGGTCCCCAAAGGAAGTCCCAGGGGGGAGAGAGTGGAGGCTCTGTGATCAGGGCCTTTGATTTGGGCTGGGACCTCTTCCCTAAGGCAGTCCACACTCCCCAGCCACCGTCAGGGGCTCCCAGGAGCGCCGAAAACAGAGGGGGCCAGATCAAGACACCAGGGCACATACGGCAGAAAAAGACAGACGTGAGGCGGCAGTGAGGGGCTTTCCCTGGCCCAGGGGTAGGGAAAGGGCCGGGTTATGTGGCCTACACAGCAATCTCGATCTGCCTTGTTCACTGACAACTGAAAGAAGGCCTGTCACGTAGTAGATGCTCACTAAACATCGGGAGAATGAATGAATGAGTGAAAGGAGAAGTGTGGGAAGAGGTGGACTCAGATATTGCTGATGAGGTGCAAGCAGCAGTGTGTGTCAGAGCCTTGGGTCCAGGAATCCCCCCGAGAGCGTATCCTCTAGGCCCCAGAGTCCAGGGACAAGACTCAACACAGGATGTGCACCTCAGCATTTGCACCGGAAGCCACACCAACCTCCACCACAGCGGACTGGGGAAATCAATGCTGGGACAATTGCACCGAGACAACCATGAAAATGTTGGACACAAGCCTGTCCTGGTGGGTTGGACATAAAAAGAAGGTCGGAAGGACAGCCATCACTTCTACTGTCAGGCCTTCAGTGGGTGGGGAGTTTGGACTGCTTTAGGGAAGTGGCTGGTTCCAGCCCAATTTTAACTGTTTATGGATGATTTTTACATCCTTCCTTTGGTTTGTCAGTATTTCATTTTTTTTCTGCAATGAAGAGGCATCCCTTGTGAATAAAACAACAGCATAAGCTTTTGTTCGTCTGCCTGTTATTGTTGTTTTAATGAAGGTGCAAAAAATGTATTATTTAAAGCAACAGCAGCCTGAAGATGAGACTCAGGGAGGGACTGGCCTGAAACCAAAGTCCAAGAAAAGGATAGAAAGCTGCTTCTTTGCCATTTCAGCTCACACGTGCCCAGAAGTGGACACTTCAGGGGTTAGAAGCAAGCCCAGTATCCTCCCGGGCGGGCGTTCTTCTCGTTGGGAGAGGAGTAAGAACTAACACATGCTCCTAAGGCAGTGACAGCGAACCTATGGCACGCGTGTCAGGGGTGACACGTGAACTCACTTTTTTGGTTGATTTTTCTTTGTTAAATGGCATTTAAATATAGAAAATAAATATCAAAAATATAAGTCTCTGTTTTACTGTGGTTGCAAAGATCAAAAAATTTCTATATGTGACACAGCACCAGAGTTAAGTTGGGGTTTTTCAAAATGCTGACACGCCGAGCTCAAAAGGTTCGCCATCACTGTCCTAAGGAGACTCAATGAACTTATTTTCACTTTGAAAGGAAAACAAGGTGTGTGCATGAGGAATAAGCCCGTAGATCAAATGACAGGTTAGGGACTCAAAGCCAGGTCCCAGAGGAAGGGTTAGAGGGAGTGGGAGGTTTAGCTTGGACCAGAAACGGCAGGTCTAGGAGCGGTGGGCAGGACTGCCTTCCTTGATCACTGTCAGTTTTCTCCTGGGCGGGGAGGCGGCCTTGTGGCTCCTGAGGACAGGCAGGGCCACGGTGGGGCAAGTCCAGGGGGCCAGCTTTCAGGAGTGGAGCCTGCAGCCAGGAAGGGCAGGGCTCCACCCCAGGGGGCTTCACAGAGGCCAGGCTATGGACCAAGGCAGGCTCCCTGGGGAGCGATACCCGCCAGGAACTCACCTGGGTTGTCCCCAGTGAAGGCCACCACTTTACATCCCGAAGGAAATCCGTAGCGCTGGACGTAGTAGGAAGAAACGGGCCCCTGAGGAGGAAAAGCCGGGACCCTCTGCTGAGGCCAAGCCCGCCTTCCCAGCACAGCGTCCACCCGCAGGCCACGGGACTGGGACCGGCTCCAGGTCACAGCCCGGAGCCGCATCACTCCCTGTGGCAAACCGGGATGTCCCTCCTGTTCACAAAAGGCCAGAGGAGCCCCGGACAGGTCATCCCACCACCTCGAAGACCACTTGATGTTGAGAGCCAAGGTCACCAGAGCAAGCCCATCTGCAACTTGGACATGTCACGAGAGCTTCAAATTCTGGATGTAGCATGAAAACTAAGCAAATGAATTACCGGGCCCAGCCATCGGATTAAGAACCACTGGGCAGCCCTGGCCGGGGAGCTCTGTTGGTTCGAGCATCGTCCCCCTACGCCAAGGTTGGGGGTTCCATCCCCGGTCAGGGCACATACAATAACCACCAATGAATGCATTCGTAAGAGCAGCAGCAAACAGATGTTTCTCTCTCCCTGCCTCTCTCTTTAAAATTAATAAACATTAAAAAAAAATAACTGGACACATGAACGCAGATGTCAACGGTCTAAATAAAATAAACCCAAAAGGCAGTGCTGGGAGGGGGTCCCCCAGGAACCAGGGCCCTCGGGCGCCTCCACGAGCTGCTGTGGGACCAGAGGGCAGGGACCCCTCTAGACAGATGCGTAATCTTTAGAAAGCACAGTCAGGAAAAGCAAGCGTTTTTCCCCCTTCCCCTGACTTTACTTTAGTCCTGAAAGTTTAAAATACATGGTAAGATTTCCTGGTGTCTGGGAAGAAAGGTTTGTTCCCTCCAGCTCTTAAAGGAGCCACGTCCCTGGAAAGAGGACCTACCACAACTGAGCATGACGGTACCGGGGGGCCCAGCTTCTCCTCTAAATGGGGTGCACAGGCACCAAGGCAAGCCTGGGCCCAGACTTTGTCCTGGATCTGCAACAAGTTCATTCCAGAACCTATGGACGGCAGGAAACAAGAATTAGAAACATCTTGCAAAAATGCACAGATCTGGGAGGGCGGATCATGCTCTCGCAGCAAACTTGGACCAGCGGAAGGTGTACCATGTGCCTGGGTCACGCTGGACCCAGCCAGCCAGCCGCCAGCAGGGCCCCGGGAAACACAGGCCCCGCCCCACCACCGCTTCTTCCAAATACTTCCTCAACAGCTCAGACACCACGGCTACCTGGAAAGCTGCTGCTCCCAGACCTGGCCGCGGCCTGGCCAGGGGAGGAGAATATGTTGACAAGGAACTGCTCTGTGTCCCCTGAAGTTCAAGCTGTCTCCTCAGAGGTAGCCCACTGCTGATGTGGGCCAGCCCTCAGGGACTTCCCAACCACATCGAACTTCGGGGAGAGCGCTCAGACACCCCTCCCCTTCCTCCTGCTCCTCCCTGAGCTCACCTCGTCTTGGCTACCACGATCTATTTCTCCCAAGGCTTTCCTCGGGATGGGGAAGGGGATGGAACCGGGAGCACAGGTGGAGGCAGACAGGGGGCTGGGGCAGGGATGGAGTCACCTGCCCATGAGAGGCAGCTGGTGAGTTAGGGGGTGATTCCTCGGGTGAGGGAGCGGAAGGCCCAGCGGAGGCTGAAGATCGCGGCCCTCCGGCGTGCCCACGTGCCTACGGGAGCAGTGAGCAGCTTGTGACCTGCCCCAGAGGCACTCTGCCTCAGGGAGAGGTGGGGAGCACAGTGCACACCCCGCTCGTCCACGTGTAAGTTCTGCTGATCTGAGTTCTACACCATTAGCTGCAGGGGCCTTTACTTCTCCAGACTGTGAGTGAAGCTGGGGGGTGGGGGGCACTCCTTAGCCGCCCCATTTTTCCACCCTGAAAACTCGAATAACGTCTGGAACACGACAGCACTCGAAAACTTCAGCTGGATTCCCGGGGGCTGAGAGCACTCACTCTGTTCTGAAGCCACTTTCCCGGGTCTGGGCTCCTGCTCTACATCCTCCTCTGCTTCTGGTCACGCCTGCAGCCTAGGCCCACCCAAGAGTTCCTTCCGTACCTCCTCCCAGCCTTCCTCCCTCCCTGCTACCATTTCCATTTAGTTTTGTTCAGGCTTTTTATTTTATTTTTCTAAAATATGCTTTTACTGATTTCAGAGAGAGGAAGGGAGAGGGAAAGAGGGATAGAAACATCGATGAAAGAGAAACGTAGATCCGCTACCTCCTGCACGCCCTCCCCCCACCCCCAACTGAGGACCGAGCCTGCAACCTGGGCATGTGCCCTGACTGGGAATTGAACCGGCGACCTCCTGGTGCACGGGATGACTCTCAACCACCTGAGCCATGCTGTCTGGGTTTTGTTCAGGTTTTCATTCCAGAAGCTCACAACTCCCAGGAGTTTCCCAAATGTGAACAAAAACGTCAATATCAAGATTGGCCCCGGCTCACACCCGAGTCCTGGTGTTCACGCCTGGGAGGTCCTCGCCTCCCCACACCTGGGTGGGTCTGTGCGACCGTAGGCAGGGGCAGAAGTGATGGCACCTCAATTCCCAGATTAGGGTGTCAGTCCTTCCTGGGGGAATCCAGCCGTGTTGTCATTAACAGCCCCCCAGGAACCGAGGCCTCTGACCAACAGGCCTGTGTGTGAACCTGGATCCTCCAGCCCATCACGCCAGCTGGACGCCCCCTCACGAGAGCTCCTGAGCCAGAACCACCCGGCTAAGCTGCCCCCACATTCCTGACCTTCAGAGACCCTGGGCAAAGAAACATTTGTGACCTGCAGCAGCGAAGTGCTCGGGTCGCTGCCAACAGCAAGGTAACTAACACCCTCCCTGCCTGGCAGCAGATAATAGGCCTGAAAGACTGGCACCGGCCAGGTGGACGAGGCTCCCGCTGCCTGCGCGCCCCCTGCACGGGCACACGCCCAGGACTCCGCAGGCCCACTCACCGTCACTGTAGTCAATAGGGCAGTAGGACCCCAGGAACAGGGAAGCGGCGAAACTGCTGACCAAGGAAATTCTCTGTAAGGGAAGGAAACTGAGATATGACTCACTTCCATATATTCTAAGCCAGCGGTCGCCAACCTTTCGGACCTCACAGACCACCAGTGGATCTGCGGACCACCGGTTGGCGACCACTGCTCTAAGCAACTGAATACTCTCTCACACAACACACACACACACACACACACACACACACACACACACGAAGAGCTTTATATTGTGAGCAAGATGCCCCAGTAATGGCTGTGGCATCTCACCCCACAGGTTCTGACAGTCCATACAACTGTCAAGTTGAACAGAGAAAGGCACACTCAGGGGAGCGGGTTTTCCACCCGGCATCCAGGGAGTGTGGTGCCGACTTCCTGCCTCCTCTTCTGTGGTCGCTGTATCTCAGCGGGTCTCAACCTGTGGGTCACGACCCCTTTGGCGGTCGAACGACCCTTTCACAGGGGTCGTCTAAGACCATCCTGCATATCAGATATTTACACTACGATTCATAACAGTAGCAACATTACAGTTATGAAGTAGCAACGAAAATAATTTTATGGCTGGGTCACCACAACATGAGGAACTGTATTTAAAGGGCCAGGAGGTTGAGAACCACTGCTGTATCTAGTCACAAGGGAAGTGGGATGTGTGATCGCAGGACTCAGACCCCAAAAAGACGCTTGAGGGTTCAGAGCAAGAATCAGTGAAAGCCGGCCCCTAGGAAGCTTTCGATTGGCCCAGACAGGAGCTGCAGGAACGGATAACAGATTTTAGATGTCAGCTGGGGGGGTCTTTGCTTCCACAAGGGAACCACGGGCCCCTGGACCAGGGCAGAGAACGCCCACACCTCCTGCCCCCATCAGCCACCTCTGTCCTGTGTTTCCCACAGAATTCAGAGCGGGCTTTCCACCCCTGCCCACAGCCTACATGGCTAATGCTGCAAAGTAATCCTGAATCATTATAATGTAAATTGGATGTTAACTTCCAAGATTAAAAAGGCCCGTTGGGCCCAGCCACAGAAACAAGCAAATTGTTTTCCAAATGAGAAAAAGAAGCAAAGTGAATGTATCATTTTTAATGTCCGCTAATCAATGTCTGTGTTTTTTCCCATCAATGCACAGGAGATGTATTTCTGGTAAAGATAAGTATTAGAAAAGGAATTCAACTGTGACTTTCAATCAAGTAGGAACGTTTAACCAACCTCCGTGTGTGAGTAGGCCTCGGGGTTCTGCTGGTAAATCTTTGCAATTTGGTTTCCTGTAAATCGCTGAAAAAAAGACGGCAAACTCTTAAAAACCCAAATCCTACGTGGAATGAGCAGCTCCATGCTCTGGAAATCCGTTAGTACGTGAAGACTTTCAAAAGGCCTCAGCAATGCTTGGCACCAGCTGGCCATCTGAGTGACCAAGCCTCACTCGGGACTGACAAGCAGCGAGGCCTGCTCTGATCACAGCACCCGTGCAGGGGACTCGGGGGTCCCTTCCCCACCCACATCCTTCTGACCTCAGGTGGCCCCAGTGGGGTTGGCCCTGTCCCCAAAACCTGTGCTCCAGCGAGGGTTGCATGACCCCACTGGGGCTGGGCCGGTGACAGCCACCCGTGGGTGGGGTGGGGCCTTCGCTGAGGCCAGCAGGAAACAGGCACTCTTTTTATTTTTTCATTTTGCCAGGAACTGTATTGTCTTACAAACACTGAGTCCTTTTAGCTTCAAAACTACCCAAAACCTGAGTGAGAGAGGCTGAAAGCAAGGCACCATCGTCACCCCGGCTGACGTGAGGAGCACAGCCGTGTTCACACCTGGGCACACACAGGGGAGGCCTGCCCTTGCCTGACGGGCAGCACAAGGAGGCAGGACGGCCTTGATCGGAACCCGGGACCAGAGTGCCTAGTCCTGGCTCCTCTGTGACCCCACCCGGCCTCATGTGATCCCCACAGGGACCGGCCACGAGCTGTGTCCTCCCAGACACCCAGAAAAAAGGGACTGGAGCCAACTACCAGACCTTCCTCCCGGTCCCAGCCCCAGCCCAACCCAGCCCAAGGCAAGCCCTGCTCACCTCGTAGGCACGGGAGCCGGTGAGGCAGCTGAGAGCCTGGGCCCCGCCCACGGCGGCCTCCAGCTGGCGGCACTGGGCTGTGGTGCTGGAGTCCATCCACACCGGGCAGTCGTGGATGGAGAAACAGGCCTGGAGAGAAGGGGCCAGGGCTCAGGCTTGCGCTCTGCCCGCTGGTGCAGGCACCTCTGAGCAGGTGTGGGCGCCTCTTTCCTGGATATGACCTTGGGAGGCTTAAGGGCAAACCCACCATGCCCACACCTCAGCCTGGCCCACTGGGATCTCTCCCAGAAAGCTCAAGGTGGAAGGTTCTGGGGAGGATGCCCAAGTGCCCCAGGCGATGCTAGATGTGGGCGGGAAAGGATTCGTGCCACTCTGCCGGGGCACCTGGAGCCTGGGAGGAGAGGAGAAGCCAGAGCCGGCTTCCAGCATCAGGAGGCATCCGGCCCCATGAGGAGATTCCCAAGGGACCATGAGCCGGAGTCGGGCTGGGCAGGAGGGACCGTGTGATGAGGGCTGCTAGCACCTGACCCTTTGTCCAGACACCAGGTATGCCCACTGCAGGGGGGCAGGGCAGACCCGACTCACAGGACTACCACCCAAACACCTTCCTACCCCCCGACAATGCTCAAAGCCTCACACCTCAGGGCCTTCCTTTCCCCTCTAGAGAAGTTTCTTGGACTCCCCCATCCTGGCCAGTTACCTGCAGCTGCTCGTGTAACGGGAGGTCTGGTGACAGGCTTGTCAGCACCCGACTGGCCCCAGCTTTCCAGTATATACTTCCATGTTGCTGTCCAGGGAAAGCCAAATACACGCTCATTAGGCCACACGTGTCACAGCCTTCAGGAGACACAGAAAGCACAGAAAGACCCGAGACCACACGCAAAGAACTGGGCTCCACAGAGCTCATCCTCTTCGGGAGCCTCAGTTTTCCTGTCTATACAATGGGGAGGAACTCTGCCCCGTCCACCTCACAACTTGTAGGAAGACTCCAAGAAGGAACGGTCAGTCTGGATATTGGTGCTTTTGTAAAACTGGATTTAAGTATATGCGCATAGTATTATCTGAAATTCACTCATCCATTCATTTCCAGGGGTGGGGAACCTTTTTCCCACCAAGGGCCACTTGGATATTTATAACTTCATTCTCGGACCACACAAAATTATCAACTTAAAAATGAGCCTGCTCTATTTGGTCGAACATTTAGTTAGCTCGCCCCTAATGCCTTGGCAGGGCCCGACCCAATGATTTTGCAGGTCTTCTATGGTCTGCGGGCCAGACGTTTCCCACCCCTCCTTACCCATCCATTCATTCCACAAACACTGAGCACCTAGATCATACCAGGCATAGGACAGATGCATCAGACAGTACTGTCCCTATTCTGCAGGACACTGAGGTTGAGTCAGGAAAGAAGATACACATGTACAATCAGAAAACCCTGGTGGTACAGGCAGGGCTGTGGGAACAGACAGGAGGGCCAGGTGGAGGGAAGGGCGGCATTCTAAGCAGTGGGCCTGAAGCTGGGGCAGGAGGTGGGTGATGGGGCTGGAGGGGAAGGCGGCAGCATCAGGGCCTCGATGCCCATGCTCAGAAGGTTGGGGTTCGTCCTGGAGGTGTGGGGACTCTGGCTTAGCGGGATGTGGCAGGGCCGAATGTATGAACGGGCCCGTGGGAACCTTGGAGAAGGTTGGCTGCAGGTAGGGAGGCTGGAGCCGAAGCCCAGAGGAAAATGATGGCACTAGGCCTGGGCAACAGAAGCAGAGTTGGAGAAGAGGTGGTAGATTCAGGAGTCGTGTACAAAGCAACGTGGGGACCCTTGGATGTGGGGGTGGGAAGATGACACCTGAAGCAGGGAGCCCGAGGAAGACGTATGGGGACAGATGGGTGCTCAGTCTGGGTCGTGGTACGTCTGCGGTGGTCATAGGGCACCCGGCCATGGGGGTGAAGGGGATGCCCAGCAGGGAGAGGGTGTCTAGGCCCGGGATCAGGTGAGGAGCAGACAAGAGCACCCAGGGAATCTGCTTAGTTTAACAAGGACAAGAGCAATCAATTCCTGTCCGGTCAGGGGGAAGAGGCGTCTTCTGAAAAATTAGTGAGCACTCCCTAATGAGGGCTAATCCAGCAGGGGGCGAAGTGACCTTAGACAAGTGACGTTGCCTCTCTGTGGCCCACTCCCCCACTCCTCCCCATGTCAATGGCAATGACAATAAAAGTAGTAGCTAAAGCTTAGGATTTTACATACTTAGGCACTGTTAAATTTTACGCATTTAACACTCACATTGAGCCTATGACAGATGAGGGTGAGGAGGCAGCAGAGAGCTGGGTGGTGTGTCCCAGGTCACCGCCGAAAATGGCAGAGCTGGGGATCAACCCAGAACCCCTGTGCTGACCACTCCGGGATCCCACCTTGTAGAAATGGTATGAGGACTCAGATAACTTATATCATAGGTTCAGCACTGCGGCCAGCACACATTCATTGTTAGTAGTAGTAGTAGCACCTCTACTACTGAAACTGCTACCATTGTTAGTATAATTTCTGCCTTTGGTTTTACCTCCAGGAAATAGAAATGCCATTTTAGTGCCCCAGTCATCACAAATTCATGCCATTCCCTCCATCCCCTCGTTCCTCCTCACCCACTGTCCTATTTCATGCGACGCGCAATCGTAAGAACTGTCTCAGATCCTTCTGCAAGGAGCCAAGCCCTATACCCTCCAAGGGCTATAGGGGCTTTTACAACAATGAAATGTGTCAGTGGGTCTCAAGGACGAGCACCCTCCCTCTCGGGGAGCGGGCACCTCGGCACCGGCTCCCCTGCCCAAGACAGCTGCCCTCGCGTGGCCCGTGCGGGCTGCTGCAGACTGACCTGGCCTGCCCCAGACAAGGCGAGGACTCGAGAGAAGTCGAAGCCCGAAGCCCTCATCTTCTCCAAGAGGATATCCAAAGCCTGGGAAGAAAAACACAATGCACCGTGACTGTAGCGATCCATGGAACCAGACAACCACACAAGCCTCAAAACTGACACGGAAGGGCTTGCCAGTACAGCGGAGGTGACGAAGAAGGAACGGATACAATGAATGAGAGAGAACCATGGATGTGAGAGACACAGGGACTGGTAAGCACCCCGACCGGGGATCAAACCTGTAACCTAGGTATGTGTGTGCCTTGACCTGGAATCAAACCCGCAACCTTTTGATGTACAGCATGATGTTCCAACCCACTGAGCCATCTGGCCAGGGCTATGCCAAAGCTATTTTGAAAAAACGGAAGCGCTAACCACTAATCCTTAACTTCTGCTTCTGCAATGTGTGACGTCCAAGCACTCGGGAAGAGAGAAAGCACGGCAGCTCAAATGTTGGTTTCGTTGATCTGTGACATCACCATACTGATGATGTCACTTCACTGCCATGGAGAAGTGAAAAGCAAAGCAGAGGGCTCCCACCAGAAGGGGGCTCCAGGCCCACAGTCCCCATGTCCAGGCGGGAGGGGCAGTAGGCAGGGGGTGGCCGTTTATCCCAACCCCTCCACCATCCTCCATCCAGTTGGCATCTTCTTCCTCGCAAGACCCCCCGGGGGGCACAGATGGCAGTGCCCAGCAGAGCTCGACACTTCCCCTAAGATTTCCTAGCAAGAATTAGAGAGTCACCACAGGCAGGGGTTTCCTTGTGGGCAGAGAAGCCACCTGAGCTCCAGGCTGACCCCGCCATCCCACCCAGGGCAGGGAGGGCTCCTTTCACAATCCTGGCTGTGGCTGTCAACTCTAACTCTGCCTGCCAACCCCCTGCAGGGAGTGTGATGCAGCTGGGGCAAGGATGGGCAAAACTAGAGCTTGTCCAATCCTAGAGGCTGCTCGTAATTACAAACCACCCCCAAACCATCCCCAACCCCAAGCCTGGCTCTCTACCCACTGCTCACCCCCAAATCAAGGCCTGGACCTCATCACTGGGACCTCTAGACACCAACTCTTGCCTGTCACCTCCAACCCCTCCACCACTGCCCCTCGGTCTGGCTCAGCCCCCTGAAGCACATTCTGGCCAGCCTGCCTGGTGGAAAGTCATCCTTGACCCCCGTCCTCCAGTGTGAGTCAGGGTCAGGCTGATAAATAAGAAATCAGACTAGTTATCTCAACAGAAAGAATTTCCTACAGGAATTTGGTTAGACGGGTATTGGAGGATTGAAAAAGCTTTGGGCAGACACATTCAGTGCTGCCTTTGGCTGGCCTCCAGTTTCAGGGCTTTGCGTCCCATAGGGCGTATCAGGCAGCTCCCAGCCCGGTCCTGCCTGTGCGGTCCACACCCTCGGTCCTGTGGCCCCATGGGTCACCTGGATCTGGCAACAGGCATCTTCCTTTCTCATTGGTCTTGAGTGGGCAGGCCTGCGTGAACCTGATGGGGCAGGTCACCAGCCACCATTCTGGAAGAAGACGGGTCTGGGGACCAAGCAGTAAGAACCCAAGGCTGTGTGTGATCTCAGGGCATTAGGGTGGTCACAGGCCTGAGTATTTGGGAAAGGTCGGCTCTGTGGTATCTGGAAGGTGGAGACTGGCTGGACTTTCCAGCTGCCATGGTTCCCAAACCCAGAAGCCCTTTGCGAGTCCTCTCAGCTCAGTACTGACACCAGCTGAGGCCGGGCCTGGCCCTAGGAACCACACAGCCTCTAGTTTCCCATGAGGACTTGGCCTCAACAGATGCTCTCACCTTTGGGCTTCCTAGCAAGTCACCAGGTCTGCTGGTAAGGCAGACGGGGGACAGGAGAGGGACAGGGATCCCTGTGCTCACCTGGACCCACATCAGGACTGGAGAAGTCACTGTCAGACCATCCTGGTGAACATGAACTCCACCCTGAGTCCTACAAGGAGAACAAGAGAGGATGAGGGACAGAGCTGGGGCAGGGGCCCAGCGGTAGCAGATCCTGGGTAACTCCAGTGGAGGCAGAAACTCCCCCTCCTCCAACCTTAAGAGGGGACGCTAGATTGAACAGGCATGAATGCTGAGTGAGATGGAAAGAGAAACCATGGAAATTGCTCAGAGTGGCAATTCTCAGAAAGCACCAGCAAAAGCAAGCCTTGGAAGGCAGGCACTGGTGTCACTTGGTGCAATGATCAAGAAGGGACTGGGGGAGCACGGGGTTGGAGGAGAAGCCCTCCCAAATCCATTGCATTTGGAGAGGGGAAGGTGTGGCTACAGGAGGAGCTGCACCTGTGAGAAAAGTTCTTGGCTATCAGACTGAGTCCTTGGATTACAATCTGTGGAAGGTTACCTGAAACCCTCTCCCGCTCCTCCTCACCCCTGCAAGACCCTCATCCAAAATGACAATCTAATTAGAAATAAGATTTAAAATAACTATGTGCACTGGGTACTTTTTGCCTCATTACAAACCACTTCAAAACGTAATGGCTTGAAACTTCTTAGCTCACACTTCTGTTGGTCAGTCACTGGGCTGAGCTCAGCTGGTTGGTTCTTCTGGTCTCACTCATGCATCTGTCATCAGTTAACTGTAGCTAGAGGGCTCTGCTTCTGGGGGCTGAATTCTGCTTCTCTTAGCTGGGGATATGGGGGCAATGAGGCCACAGGTCCCTCAATCTCCAGCAGTCTAGCCTGAGCTTGTTCATGTGGTGGCTGTACAGGATTCCAAGAATGAGAGTAGATGCATGCAAAGCCAATCGAGGGCTGGGGTTAGAATTGGCACAATGTTACTTCCCCCATGTTCTACTGATTAAAATCAACAGGTGGAGAAAGGACTCCATCTCTTAATGAAAGGAGCTGCAAAGTCACATAGCAAAGGGCACGGTACAGGGAGGCATGGAGGATTATGGTCATTTCTGCAATATACCGCAATGTGCAAAATCCCTATGTTAAGCATATTAAGATATACATGAAGTGCTCAAAAGAAGAATTGAGCAAATGGGAAAACACAGTCTGAGCTTAGGCAGGAAGACTTGACCTCTTGTCAATTCCAAGTTAATTTATAAATGTAATGTGATCTCAATAAAAATATTAATAACTTTGCTTTCTGGAACATTAAATGCTGATTCTAAAGTAAGCATCAATTAAGGACGAGAAAGAGTAGCCATGGAAACTGAAAAAGAAGAACAATCAGAGAGGACCAACAATTCCAGATATTAAATCCTATTCTAAAGCTGGAATAATTAAAACGATGTGTTACTGGCTCATGAGCAGACACACTAACCAATCAAGGAAAAGAAAATGCCCAGAAATAGACCTAAACACACAGAGAAATTTAGCATATGATAAGGCTGGTATCTCAAATCAGTGAGGTAATGATGGGCTTCTAAAAAAATTATGTTAAACCACTGAAGAGTCATCTGGGAAAAAATTAAGTGTATGTAGAAATGTCATGCCATGTACCTAAAGAAACTCCCAAATACTTTTATATTGGAAAACAGAAATCTTATAAGAACTAGATGCAAATATAAGTGAATTCCTTCATAATCTTGAGTAAGGGAGGCTTTTTAAAGTATGACTAAAAATCTAGAATAGGAAGAGATGGAGAAATTCAATGGCATAGAAAACAAAGACCCATGTATGGCAACAACAGCAACAACCCATACACAAGTCAAAACAAACAAAAATCTGAGAAACATATTTGTGATTCATGTAACAAGAGAGATAATTCCTCTAATATGTGAAGAGCTCCTAGAAATTGATAAGAAATAGATAACCAATCCAACAGAAAAATGGGCAAAGGACATGACAAATAAATTCATGAAAAAAAGAAATTCGAGTAGGTCTTCAACAGATGAAAAGACACTCAGCTTCATTCACAATCTCTTTTATGGCCACCCCGAATTGGCAGTGCTGTGGGAAACACTCTCATGCACTGCTTATGGGTTGCAAATCAATACAATCCCTACGGGAAGCAATTTGGCTACATCTTCCGAAATTATAAATCTATTTGCTCTTTGATCCAGCAATCCTATTTCCAAAATTTTGTCTTACAGATACACTAGTACATATCTGTAATAGCATCTGTAGGTAATTCACTACATCATTTTTCATTGCTAACAACCCAATATCCTTACACAGGAGATGGTAAATTTACCCAATGGAATATTATCTATATCATAAAAGGCCTGTGGTCATCACGCTGTAACCGCGGAACAAGCAAACAACTGGTCATCAGGAGGTGCATGGAGCACCTCCCGCAGGCCGGGCTCGCACAGGGCTGGTGGGGCTGGGGCGGTGGAGGCGGGCCCTCGGCTTGCATGGCAGAGGCGGAGCCCGTGGCTCGCGCAGGGCGGGTCTGGGTCTTGCACAATTTCTTGCACTGGGCCTCTAATGCATCTATAAAAAGAACAAAGCAGTTCTACGTATTGACATGGAAAACACAGGCAAGTGACTGTGAAATGAATAAAGCAAAGTGCAAAATGCTATATATGGTATGCTTTTTTCTGTGGAAGAAAGGAAGAAAATAAGAATATTCTTATCTGCTGATATTTCCATATGACACTCTGGAAGGATACACCAAAAACTAACGAAAGAAGTAGAAGAGGCCAGGAGGGAAGAGATGAGATCATAGAGGGTTTAAAACTTTTCAATGTAGGCCTTTTGTTTCTTCTGAATGATGTACCAACTACATGCAATGCCTATTAACAGAACATTTTTATTAAAACAACCGCTTTGGAAGAGAACTGGCAATTTCTTAAAAAGTTAGACATACACCTACCATACAACTTAGCCGTTTCTGGGTATTTCATTTCCAAGAGAAATGAAAGCTTATGTCAACACCAAGACTTGTATGTGAATTTCACAGCCTCCTTATTTATAATAATAAAAAACTGGAAACAACCCAAATGTCTCTCATCAGGTGAATGGATAAACTAGTTGTGATCCATTCATACAATGAATACTACTGAGCAATAAAAAGAACAAACTACTGATAAACATGGATGAATCTCAAAATGATTGTATTGAACTAGAGGCCCGATGCATGAAGATTCATGCAAGAATGGGCCTTCCTTCCCCTTGCTGCTGGCACTGCCTTTGGTCCGGCCCAGAGCCACCTTTCCGCCTTCCCACGCTGCCCAGAGGCCCGGAGCGGCTAGGACAGTGTGGAATGCCTGCATCCCGCCCGCCCCCCACCAGCCACTCAGGCTTATGTATGCAAATTAACCCAAACAAATATGGCAGGTTAATTTGCATACTCACGCCTGATTGGCTGGCGGGCATCACAAAGGTATGGTCAATTTGCATCTTTCTCTTTTATTAGTGTAGATTAAAATGTCAGATTAAAAAAAGAGTATATGACTCCTTTTATATAAAATTCTCAGACCCAGCACAGTATCTGATGCAAAGTCTTGATTGGTACCTACTGCTTATATGCATGAATGAATGGATGAATGAATGGAACTGCAAAGGAATGGAGGAGGGAGCATTACAGGCATAGAAAAAGGGGTGCTGAAGACCACAACTCCTGCAGTTGGATGAAGCCAGAATAGTATGTTTATGGATGTTAAAGGTTGAGTGGGGGCTCCCCCAAACCAATACCCCACACACAGAGAAACATGCACACGAGGTACATACCCAAATTCTGGAAGGTCTCTGTCAAAATGCACGCTGTCCTCATAGAAGACATTCATCGCTGCATCAACAGCAACCACTTTCACCTGCAAAGCATTCGAGACGATGGGGCAGAGAATTTCCCTCAGCTGCTACGCAGGGCCAGGGACAAACTTCATCAGGTGAAGTGAGGGGTTCAACCTGGAGACCTTCTGGAAGGCTGGGGTGCATTGTTGTAACCGTGGCAACCGAGCCTCACCTGGGGACATGCCCCAAGATTTAGTACAATGAAGCTGAGACTGCGTTGAAACACCTTTGTAGCTCAAGGAATCTCTGTCCACCAAACACCCAAAGCCAAGACCCTCTTAGAGAAAAATGTTCACAGATGAACTGATTCCTGGCCAGGAGGCCTGAGAAAGCCCTAGAGGCGAAGGAATGGCAGGCTAGGGTTTGGAGATGCCTCTGGGGGACCATGTCTGCAGGGATCTGAGAGCCAGGCAAGGCCCCTGGGCTGTTCCCACAGGGCATGGCCATGGTCCGGAGACAGACTGTGTCGCAAAGCAGCAGACCTCCAAACCCAGGGGTACAATTCCTTTCCCAGACATATGGGGAAACTGAGGTCTTAATGCAACCAGCCTTACCCAGGGTCCCATAAGACTTTCTGCTCGAGGACTGGTCTGCCTTCCCTAGCCCATCTGAGAAGAGAGGTTTGACTACAACTGTGCTGATTCCCCAAGTTAAGAAGGGGCGCCTTTGGCCAATTTTAACTGCTTGCCTGTCCATGGCGTCCTGGGGACTGCACAGCCCGTCCTCTGTCACCACTGCTGGGCATGCTGACCCCGGCGGGCTGGTGCCAACCCAGGATGGAACAAAGTTCAGGATACTTTGTTCCATTTCACCAAAAAAAAAAAATTCAAGCGGTAATCTGGTTCCAGGCCACCGGTTATGCCTGTGTGCTCACCTACCCGTCCGCCTGTCCCCCCCTCTTGCACTGGCTGAGTAGCTTCGGGGGTCCCATCACTCGGTGGCCGCGCCTCCCGGCCCCCCTGGGCACTTCCCCACCGCGCGCCCCCAGGATCCCGCCGCGGGGGGGAGGGGGGCCGCCGTTTCCGGGAGGGGCGGGGTACGGGCCGGATCGCTGCCGCGTCTTGCGAGCGGGAGTGGGGGTGGGAGGGGTATCACGGGAAAGGCGTCGTCGCGCAGGGGCGCCGGGTCCCCGAGAAGTCCGAGAGGGAGGTGCGCCCACGGCTTGGCCTGGGTGTCCCCGCACCGGGGTCCCCACCAACCCGCCGGGCGAAGCGGAGGCGGCGGCCCGGCCCCGGCCCCGGCCCCGGCCCCGCGACAGTACCTGCTGCGTGCTGAAGTCCCAGCCCAGGCAGCAGAGGCGAGCGGCGGGCTCGGCCATGGCCACGGAGGCTCCGGCGCGCGCCCGTCCGTCCTTCCCGCGGCGTGACTGTCGCCGCGCTCCGACGCCCAGAGACGCAGGGGCCGCCCCTCGCCCCGCCCGGCCGGACTCCTGGACCGAGTCACCCGCCGGCTGTGCTCTGGCTCCACCTGCCGGGCGACGGGGGCGCGGACGCGCCGGTCCCGGCCTGGGACGCTGGGACTTTGAACCAGGGCACTGGACAGGCGCGCTCTGAGCAACCGCAACTGCCGGGGCCCAACCCCAGCGGGTCCAGGGGTCCCCAAAGGTGTAGACGGAGTCGGCGAAGAAGGAAGGACACGGAGACAGTGTTCAGGTGATCAGCAGCCTAGCCAGGATCTCCAGCCAGGATCTCCAGCCAGGATCTCCAGCCAAGTTCTGGTCTGGATCTCCAGCGAAGTTCTGCTTCAGATCTCCAGCCAGGTTCTGTGTCCATGTTCTCTTGCTAGGTTCTCCAGCCAGGTTCAGTCCAGGTTCTCCAGCCAGGTTCAGTCACCAGGTTCTAGTCAGGTTCTCTTGCCCATTTCTGTAGTCAGGTTCAGTCCAGGATCTTTTGCCATGTTCTCTCCAGCGAAGTTCTTCTGTCTCTAGTTCTGTGTAGGTTCTGTCTTCTTCGTTCTGTCTTCTGAGTTCTGTCTACTGTTGTCTTGTTACAACTGTATTTATACCAGTTGATTCAATCCTATCAATCTCTATTCCAAAGGTTAGGGCGTTTCTTATCTCCAATCCAGGGAGTAAAGATTATGTAGCTTAAGCATGATTGTTCGTAGTTAAAGTGATTAATTACCCGCCTGGCACTTAGTTGAGGGGTTTTATTCCCTCCCTAACTTCAGGGGAAAATCCCTACCTGGGGAAACAACCTTTCTCAGAGAAGAGACCTTGGTTAAAACACATAGTGCCAAGAAGGTGAGCAAACATTTTAAGAACAGTATGCCATATATGCCAGGTCCTTTGAAACAGCAAGGATGGACCGGCTCCCGGCACGCAACCCGCTCGCACCAAGCCCCTACCCTGTCCCTCCTCCCCATCCAGCTTTAAGCCAGCTTGCCCCTGCCTATGTCTGGTGGCCCTCGGCCTGGAGACCTTGGGTACTGGAACAGATGCCCACGCATGGGGGTGACTCTGGGGTCACAGGGAAAGGTGCCCTGGGCTGGAGGCAGTGGGCTCCAGCAGGCCCTGTCCTGACCCAGCCAATCTGAGTGTCTCCCCATGTGCCACATTCCACCTCTGTATCCAAAACCAGAACTCCTGAGGCGCCAGAGCATGGTGAAGGGGGAGAGAGAGCCGAGATTACAGTAGAGGCACTCCCTTTCCTCCTGGAGCTGGAACACCTTCCCTCCCCCTCATTCCACCGGGCCATGTCCTTCTGTCCCTAGGACTGCCTTCTTCCCAAGTCCTGCCAACACCCACCTAGGAGAGGTGGTCCTCTCCGGAGCTTCCCAGCCCCCAGATGCAATGGTCTAGTTACCTAGCTCTCTCTTTCTGAACTGCCTGGAGCCCAGATCCTCCTCTTGACCCAAAGTCCCAAGATCACAGCAGAGCTGGGCCCAGAGCCAGTGAGTTGGACTCCAGAATCCACATTTAACCACTAAACAGGACAGTTTGCTGGGCAGCCTTGCGAGAAGGCCGGTGGCAATACACAAACGTCCCAGGAAGGCTTTCTCAGGCTCCTTTCTCAAGGCCTCACAGGGAGGCATTGTCTTGCTCAGGGTGCCTTCCTCTTGGGCTGTGGCACCTCTGCCTTTCTGGTGACTCGTCCTTTCTCCTGATATAATAGCCCTTTCACTGTGGCCACAGAGAAGACTGGGGGTCTGAAAGCCCATTTACTTACATAAGATCTGATCATTAGCAAGGAATGAAGACAGATATCTTAATTCCAAATTGTCAGTGCCTCTCCTATTGTCTTCCTTGTTGATGTCCTGAAAAGGGGCACCCAGCGGTAGAGGGATTCTGGGAAGCCGCTGGCTTGGACGTCTCTTATATCACCGTTTCTTAGTCTCCGGCAGGGCTCTGTCTCTTACCCAGGCTCTAAATGGGCAAAGCCCAGCCACAGAAGAGGAGTCACGTGACCATTTGCATACTAGGAAGAGCACAGAAGATACTACTCGGAGAATGGGGGCCAAGGGAAGGAAGGGAAAGTTGGTTCCAAAGTGGTTGCAGGAGGCCTGGCCCAGGCCAGAGGTGCTAATGGATGGAGAGAAGTAGGTGGACTCAAGAGATATTTAGGAAGCTCCGGGACTCTGTGGACTGAGAGAGGGAGAGAAGTCAAGGACAACGCCCAGTTTTCTGGTCTAGGTGACCTGGTTGGTTAACTGTTGATGCATAAAAACACCCTCAAACTTGGTGGCTAGAACAACAATCTTTTGTTGTTCCTCACACGTCAGCGGGTCAGCAGAGGGTGAGCTGACCTAGACTAGGGCCAGTTGGGGTGGCTCTGCTGCGTGTCTCTCATCTTTCTCTTCCTGGGACCAGCAGAGTACTCCCAGCATGCCCCTCTCCTAAAGCAGCAGAGCGTAAGAGGGCGAGGGCAAACGTGTGAGACCTCTGCAGGTCTAGGCTTGGAAATGGCATCTGCACTTCTGCCTCTCTGACCCCCACGGGCAAGTGGTGGGAATGAGACCTGGCAAAGGTGGGACACGGGGAGGAGGGAGAACCATGGCCACCAATGCCATCGACCACAGGCCACGCCCAGATGAGGGTGGCTCTATTCTCGGAGTTAGGAGACATGGATGCAGAAGCAGGCCGGAGGGAAGAAGGTGAGTTTAGTCAGGACCCGGAAGGTTGGTGATGCCTGTGGATGTCTGAGATGATGAACAAGCCGTTGGATGTGTGGCTGAAGACAATGGGTTGGAAATGAGCAGCAGGTCCCGAAGGGAGTGACCTAGACTGTGTAGAAAGGATGCAGGGTGGGACAGCCGGAGACCCCCAGAGGCACCTGCAAAGGACACGTCAAGGCACAAGAAGAGACCATGAGGGAGGGGGCCGACGGAAGCCCATGGAAGGACCTTCCTGGGAGCTGACGTGCAACAGGGTTAGGCGCTGCAGGAAGCCTGTCCCCCGTTCAGCAGTGAGGAGGCGGGCCATGGAAACCTTGCAAGAGCAGACCCGGGGTGCCCCACAGGCCATAGTTTGTACGATCTTTTTTATGCAGCACTGCTTTTAGGCTTTGTTTCTGTTGTTATATGTATATCTAATCCTGTGGTTCCCAGACCGCGTGCCTGAGAAGCTGCAGGGAACCCATAAGGGTGCTGCGGGATATTTTTACTCTTCCAAGCAGACACAGCGATACTCAGCGTCTGGCAGGCACCCGTGCACTGCTAGCGGGAGGCAGCTCCCAGCCCAGCATTAGATTGCGCTGCACGCCTCTCTGGGCTGTTCCCCCCTGTGTTGGCCACACTGCGCTCTCCGCGGCTGCAGTGAGGAACTAGTACTGCGGGGAAATCAAGGTGAAACAGAAAACAAGGATGGGTATCCCATCTGATCCCAATATCTGAGACGCTGCATAGCGCCCCACAGGCTCACACGTCCCCTTGGGAAGTCATTTTGATTAAAAATGAAATATTTTCTCCTCCAGTTTACGTGTATTATTTTCTTCAAGCAGCTACCAACTTGTTAGGGCATTTAGATGTATTAACCTGTTTGCACCTAACTACCTAATAAACAGAACCGTTCGCATTTCTGTTGTCCTAGGAGTACGTGAAATAATTGTTGAGATTCTAAGAGTGTCATGAAGTCCAGCCATTTGGGAAACCGGATCTAGTTGGATGTATCTAAGTGCTCTGTCATAGTCAATGGTGTGTTCACTCCACATTTTACTATGCAGGCTCTCTGTGACACTTGGGTGGACATCAGACTTATATATAGTTTTCTAAATGAGTAGTTTTAAGGGAGAAAAGTTACACCAGGCTAGTGTGGCTCAATGGTTGAGTGTCAACCCATGAACCAAGAAGCTGTGGGTTCGATTCCCAGTCAGAGCACATGCCCAGGTTGTGAACTTGATCCCCAGTAGGGGGACCACAGAGGGGGTAGGGGACAGCGGATCCACGATGTCTCTGTCTCTCTATCCTTCTCCCTTCCTCTCTCTAAAATAAATAAAAACGTATTTTTTTTAAAAAGAGAGAAAAGTTAGAAGTATATTGGTAGCTTTAATCTCTATCCCTTACACTTCTAAGATAAAAATCACTAAGTCAAAAATAATCAGAAATTAGGAAATAAAGTAGACAATTATAATTTAGGCTCACTAATTTATTATACATATCTGTCTGAAATTTTATAAAAGATTTCATCTTGGAATATGTCAGAAATAAGTAAATCTTCTTTCCATTCTATCTTCGTCAGGACAGTGGGAAGCTGTTATGAGTTGAAAATAGATGTTTGAACTATAGCCCCAGGGCCAACATCACACAGAGTTGTTTGTCCAAGTTGGAGGGTGAGGGCTGGGTCCTGTCTCCAGTTAAATAAGTCACTCATGCAACTGAGGTTAAGATTTTTTTAAAGCTGAATTTGTTTTTAAACCTGAAGACAAATTTGATGGACTTTGATGTTTAAGGAAAACAGATTCCAAAGAGTTCTGTGTGTGTGTGGGGGGAAGTGCTTATTTCTAACAAGTGTGAATACTTCTGTTGTATATGTCTTTGTACTCACCTCAGAAGCTAATTTGACTTTAGGAAAATTAAATATTGTTGTAGATATCTTCCATTTTTCTGATTTTATTTATTATTTTCATTAATCTGGGAGAGAGGAACGGGGGAGGAGAGAAACAGGGAGAGAGAGAGAGAGAAACATAGATGTGAGAGAAACATTGAGTGGACAGTTGCCTCTGACTAGAGATTGGAGATCAAACCCACAACTTGGGCATGTGGCCTGATCAGGAATCGAACCCACTACCTTCTGGAGTATGGTATGATGCTCCAATCAACCGAGCCATACCAGCCAGGGCCATTTTTATGGTTTTATAGCATTCCTCCCTTGGCACCTGTCTTTCCCCCAGTACATGAGTGTGTGAGGCCGATAATTAAATCCAGTAGCCCTGTATACACAAAAGAAAGTTCTGGAAAGTCGTACTCTAAGTTATTAACAACTGTCTGTGAGAGGGGTTTAGAAATTGGTGGTTAGCAGGGGACCTCTGCATTTTAATTAACTCTGTATTGATGAACGTTTAACTTTTCTGCTAAAAGAAAAGAAAACCAGCCAACCAAGCAGTAATAATGGGGGG